ATCAAATATCTACGATCAAGTGAACTGTAATGTTTAAAGGAAGACAGTGCAATTTCTACAAATGTAGCTCTTGAACAGTTGTAAAGGCATTTTATCATTATGTAGCTTTATAAGGGAAAAAAATCAGTTCACAGCACCCATGACAATAACCATGAGCTAAAATTGTTCTACTTGGAATAGTTAATGTAAGTAAAATCATTGGATTGGAAAAGGCAGGAGCTCCAGTCAGCTCCATCTCAAAATCCAATACTATATTCTTGGAAATGGCTGCTTATTATCTAACTTGCAAATTTTGATTTTCCAATGCAATACCATTCTTGAAACAAGAAGTTCATGAGATAGCTGCATTTAATACAGGATTTACCATAGGTATCGCCTATGTTAATCTTTACTTTTAGTTAAATTGCTGGGCTGGGTGTTTAAGTGCTTAAATTGTTGGTGTTTCCATTTTCATTGGTTTAATGTGTAACCCTTTGAGTGTTTAGACAGAAAAGGTCTTCCACTCCCAGCACACCCAGCCAGTAACAGTGGCTAGACTTCTTTTCTGTCTTCATAGGATTGTATCCTTGACCTGTTTTATCCATTTTGCTGTACTGGGCTGCAGAGTGTCTTTTAGCTTAGCGTTTTAGTTTTGCAACTGTAAAGAGGTCATTTTAGTTGTATCTTATATTTTTAGTTATGTATGAAAACCACATAAGGCATATCAAGGATACACCTTGATATAATTGTTGTAACAGATACAACAATCATACCACCCTATTATTAAAAAGTAACATGATAAAATAATAGAGAAAGCTATATATATAAGACACAATTGCCTGAAACTAAATGGAAATACAGTTACTTTCTAAAGTACTATTCCATAAACAGTACTTATAAATAACAGTTGAACTGTTAACAGACTTTTAGAACTTAAAATTTCTTTGTGAATGGAGGTAATGAGGTATATCATGTATTATTTAGATTAAACAGAACCAAGAGTTTTGTTTATTAGTGATTTAGGTTTGTAAAGAGAGCCTAACCTCAAGCCACTGGAAAAACTTCTGGGAACACATTAAAAATACAGTATATATTGTTAAAAAACAAAAAAAGCAAATGATTGGCCGAAACAAACTATTTAGTAAAGAAGAACAAGGAAAAAGCAAGTTGTAAAATCCATGGACACCTGCAAAACTTAACCCATTATACACTAAACCAACCCGAAAGTATAGGAATTGTTTCCTGATACTGAAAACTCCAAAAGTGCAAGTAAGGTCATCCAGAGGACAAAGAGGACATAGTTATACTACAAATTAAAACATTAGTGAATGATTTAATAATATTGTGAAAAAACAACTTAGGGAACTAGAATTTTATCTGCCTACTGAGAATTGCTGCCCTTCTCTATACCTAAACTCTCCATGGTTTTACAGTTGGCTGAACTAGTTAAAATCTGTAATGTGGACATCAATTGCTTATCATTTTCTTTTTAATTATTGTAGACTTAACCCACCCTTAGAAAACCTCATTTTACTTTGGCAAGGCACAAAGGAAGCTGTTGTGATGATAAGTTCATTGATCCGTCTAACTCAGTCTTGTTTATTCTGAGTGGCAGTGACTCTCTAGGAGACCAGAGATGGGCTGAATCTACAGAGAGCATTTTGCATGCAGAGCACATCCCTACCACTGAGTTCACAGTTTTGTTTGCTGGTAAACTAATAGAGAGGCAACGTCACTGGCAAGAGCTCAAGGAAACATTGACATAATTGGCAAAGCGTTCCATAATTAGCACATTAGCTAATTGTATCACTTCAGTGCTGGCTCTTGGAAACACCTGCAAATTTCCCAGAAAAACCATAATGGTTTAAGAGCTGAAGATTAATGACTGCCATCAAAAATGACAGCTTTGATACAACAAAGTTAATTTGTTTGACCTGGATTTTCTTTCTTTTTCTTTTAATCCCTATTATGCTCTGGAAAGTAATTGTTAGGTTGTATCTTTGGACTGAATTTTGGATTATTGCTGGTTAAATATCTTCCCAGACAATAACCTAGAGTCTCACCAATAAAGAAAACATGCAAAGTTCACACAAGCATGCTTTATTGTACTTGTGAACTGGAGAGACAGAGGAAAGCTATACAAAGCTGTAACAAGAAATGCTAAATTTATTTTCTGAAACAGAAGGGGTGGTGTTGCGAGTCGGCAAAGACCTGACTTGGATATTTGCTGTGTACATCCCAGGTCAAACTTCTTTATTAAATGAAAGTTCCCAAGTACCTTGGTTTACCACCTCTGTAATTGATGTCACAACCACTATCCAAAAGTTCCTTGTACTGAGACTACTTTCAGAGGGATTCCCCCAGATTTTAGTGTGTGGGAGAGAGAGGGAATTGCAGTAAGATGCAAAAGTCCACTCAGTGATGTATTAAATGCAAGCGCATATACAGTGGAATGAAGAAGAACCATGACTCAGCTGTAGAGCATCTGCTTTCACGAGGTGCAATCCAAAGCAGAGAGGGCTGGAGAAATTTCTGCCCAAAAGCCTGGAGAGCAGTTGCCATTTCTGCCTTGACAATATATTGTGCAAGATCAGACCAATGGCCTGATGCAGCATAAGGCAACCTGTGCCCATGCTCCTAGCAACCCTCCCCTTGTGTCTGGATTCAGGTGTAATCCTTGGTATCATCTCCTTTTCCAAAGTATGCTGGTAGCAGGTCTTGGAAAAATCTAGGGAGATGCTACCAGGCAGACTAGACAGACCTAGCCTAGATAGACAAGCAGTTGGACTCAGCACAAGGCAATTACAATTTGAAAGCAGCGGTTTGGATCTTCATATGTATGCCTAACAGATGTCGTTCGGTATTGCAATGTTCATTCAACAGATGCTAGGGAAAACTGAAGGCCAAAGAAGAAAAGGAAGACCAGACAAGAGATGAATTGACTCCATAAAGGAAGTCACAGCCTTGAATTTAGAGCAGCTGAGCAGGGCTGTCGTGGACCAGACATTTTGGAGGGCTTTCATTCAGAGGGTTGCCATAAGTCGGAGACAACTCGAAGGCACATAGCAACAACAACATTCAGTAAAACTGATGCGATGATCAGAAATATGGATACTCATATGGAAGAACTGCATGGGAGCCTTGAGTTCCATCCCTCCTCTAACAGCACCCTGGTTATTAATTGCCACGGACAATGAAAGAAGGATGGCAACTTTGGCTGCTGATATGCAGAGCTAGAACAGCGAGAGACTGAAATGGATCGCCCTTTAAAAAGAAATATGGTTGGTTGTGCTTGCTCAGAGGCCCAGTCAGCACAGCTTCTCCTGACTGTAACCCCTGCTCTACTAGTTTAATATATGGACAAATAACAGGGCTAACCAGAGAGAAAAATAATTCTATTCTGCTCAATTATACATCGCTGCAGGGACCATACATCTGCCAAGCATGGCTTTGCAACAACGCAGTTGTTTTATTAGTCACTCTTGTCCAAGAAAATTTCTATTCATTGGAAGGCTCTTGGCATTTCTTTAGAAAAAAATCAGTGAGTGGTTTTTGGACCTCTTGAGTAGGAAGTTTGCAAGACAGGTCTCAGAGTATTAACTTTTTAAATATTTTAAATATTTTAATTAATATTAACTTAAAAAACAAAACAAAACTGTGGTATCAAATGAAAAAAGTGACACGCTTCTGTATCAGCAGCACATGTCTTTTCACATCAAGGATCCACTGCCCCAGCCCATTTGCCCTTTCATTAAACACTGCTGCATCTTTGGGAGCCAGTGCATTAGACCAATTCTTTCCTTTTGTTCCTTAAGTAAGTGCAATATATTAAAACTTAGCAATGTCTCTGGTTGTGGTTATGATAGAAGTGCTGCAGTTCCAAAGGCATCCAGCACCATAAGAAGGGGTTCAAAAACAAGGACTGGCCTTGATGGCCATCCACAATGTAGTCTCATTGCTGGCTCTGCCCCACCTCTATAGGCTAAGGGAAGGGTCTGGTTTGTGACACACCTAAACTGGTTTGTATAACATGGCCAGTTCTCTGCGAGTGATTCATCCTGTAATAAGCCACAGCACATGCCAGGTATGTGTGGCCACTGTTTTGAATATGCAATCTCCAGCTGGGGTGATTGGGGTTTGTAGCATGTTGTGCAAACCTAACCAGCGTGGGTTATTTGAGGATGAAATAACCTTGCATAGCCCTGAATTAGTAGTATGGTTATGTGAGACTGGTTTGCATGACACACCACAACCCCCAATCTTCCCAACAGGGGGCTGCATATTCCAAATAGCAGCCACATGCACCTGGCATGCACCACAGGAAAATAACCCTTGGTGAAATATCCATATTGCATGAAGCAGTTCAAAGCCTCTTAAGAGCTGCACAACTGCAGGGGCAATCTACTTTGCTGAGAGAGAAGTTTGATCACCTGTGGTTTCTAGAGTCTCCCAGGAGGTAACTGCAAGGCCAGGGAAAGGGGATGTGTAACTCTATAGTCATGCACTGACTTTGGAAAGACTGGAAAGCAGTGACACATGGTGCCATTGCTCTGGCATATCAACAGTGCCTGGGCATCTGGACCCCACAAGTGCAGACTCTCCAACAGCAGGGTGCTAACTAAAGGGATGGTGCTATTAATTTATGCAAAATTAGCTAACCCACTGGCTTATCACACACACGCATGTGCATGTCTTATGTGGAATTAATTGCACGATGGAAAAATAAAGAAATCCACAGGTCGAAATAGCATTTTTAGAGTGTGGCGTAGTGGTTAAGAGCATGGGACTGGGACTCAGACGACTGGGGTTCTAGTCCCCTCTCAGTCATAGAGCCAACTGGGTGACTTTGGGCCAGTCACAGACTCTCAGCCCAGCCTACCTCACAGGGTTGTTGCTTGGGATAAGATGGAGGAGGAGAGATGATGGAAGCTGCCTTGAGCCCTTTGTAGGAAAAAGGCAGGATATAAATCGAAAAATAAATTAATAAATAACTTTGTGCACAGGACCTCATACTCTCTTACCTCTTGTTCCTGTCCTCCAACTGCAAGATGTACACCATGTCATCAGAAGCGTGCTGCTTGGAGCTGCTCTCTCCCCATTTCAGCTTCAGGCTCTGAGGACCGGCTGCAGTGCACTCTAGCCGAGGAGGTAAGGGTGGCAGTGGCCGGGTCTTTGCTTTGATGAAGTGGCTAAAAGGTCCAGCTCCAATTTCATTTACAGCCTGAATCCGAATCCTGTGTTTGGAAGACACCAAAAAGAAGTTGAAATTTATTTTTTAAGTCAATCGATTTCCTCCCTTCTCAGTGAAATAGAGGAGGATCCATAACTATGTTTAGTACCTAGGTGTGGGGATACCTGAGTGCAAAGACACATCTTTCATCATTTGAGCACAGTTTCTGCTGTTGGGTGCGTGAAACATATTCCCTGGAATGATGCAC